CATAATCAGCTTAGCTTTGCATTCTTTCTTGTAGTAAGGTTATGATTTTGCGACTAAGTGACAATATGTATTAGATATGTGTTAGGATTCTCCAAAAGAAGAGAACTAATAGAAGGTGTGTGTATATACAGATATATGCATAGATGTATATGTATTTGTATGTGTATGTACACACACACACAGGTTTCTTCCTAACTAGCGCTTATAACTTAAATTAGCCTATTTATATTAATCTATGTTCTATCACATGGTGTTACTCTCTCTTAATGTTGTACCCCCTGTTTCCTCCCTGTGTCTCCTGACTTCTCCTGAACTTCTGAATTCCTCCTCTTTCTCTTCCTGGATGTCCTGCCTATACGTCTTGCCTAGCTATTTGGCCATTCAGCTTTTTAATCCACCAATTGCAGCAATACACCTTCACACAGTGTACAAATATCCCACAGCAACTTTCTGCTATCCTGTGTGATATCCTGGTGAGGGATGGGGACAATTCTCCCACACTTGTGGCCCCAGGGCCAGCTCTCTCACCTGCCACACAAGGCTTGAGGGGAGGGAGGGCAGTTTTCTTACAAGATTGTTAAGGTATAGAAGTACCGTTTTTATACATTGTTTTAAAATTGAATGGGAAAATATAATGAATAGCAAAAGACTAGACTATACTTTAAATTTTAAGACAAGTGTTTTGTCTAATGGAAATATGACTTTTAGACACGTTTCATTTGTATTCTGTGTTTCCTAGTGTAGCTGTAGCATGAAAAATAAAATACCCACAGATAGATATTGGGGTTTAAGCTTCAAGCTAAAGATTAGAGAAGCAAAGTAGCCAAGTCAGTAGATCTTTCCTCTATCCAGCTGAAATGGTAATCCTGCCTCCATGAATCCGTATAGGCAAACTCTCAGTTCCTGACGCCCCCTGCCTTTTATTTCTTTCTCTGCCCAGTCATATCAGCCCTGTCTCCACCTCCCTAGTGCTGAGATTAAAGGTGTGTGATCCCAGGTGCTGAGATCATCTTTGTGTGAGTTGTTTTTTTTAGGACTGGATCAATTTTGTATAGTCATTGTGGCCTTGAACCAACAGAGATCCATCTACCCCTTAACCCTGAGTCCTGTGATTAAAGGTGTGTACCACCACCTCCTAGCTTCTGATTGCTACAATTAAAGGTGTAGATTACCATTGCCTGACCTCTATAACTCATGACTGACTTTGCTTTTTGAATCCTCAGGCAAGCTTTAATAAATCATAAATAATATATCACCACATATACTTATACGTGTACTTGTATAAATACACAAATGACTTAATAAATTTATTCTCCACATCACAGGCTTAATCTGCAATCCCATCCGAGGTCACATCAGAGTCCCACAATGACCATCTGTAGACTGAAGAGCTGGGGAAATTAGCAGTTGTTCACTTCAATCAGTGATATACCTCCAGCTCAGCATTAAAGGCCCAACACTCCTTGGATATTACTCTTGAAAATTCACATTAAAAAATGAGAATTGAGTTGACAAGTTTTATTCTTTTAAAAGTACCTCTACCTAAGAACCTGTATGCATGCTATATCCTTTTTTGATTGTTTGTTTGTTTTACCCAGGGCTTCAAATAGGATCCTAGATGACTGAGTGGTCCTAGCTGTCATGAAGGCAGGTATTTTCTACCCAGCACACTGATCAACATGCCAGTAGTTACTGGAAGCACCCCTATATATGGCCATTCAGTATGCTTTACCAATTGTCTAGGTGTCTCAATTCAGATAAATTGACAAGCAAGATAAAACATCACACCTGGATTGTTAAATGATATAAAACAAGTAATAGTCTTTATTCCCCATCAATGGGTACAGTAGGGAAAGAGACACTGCATTTTGGGAATAGCCATAGCAAAGCAATAAGAAGCATGCTTGAGGCAAGGTATGTCCCCATCCCCACCAGCCCCCTCCGCCTAAGCTGACTGGCCTAGTCAGACTGGAATACTGTGACTCCTGAATTTGCTTTGTTTCTCAATGGACAACTTCCAAACATGTCTGACTTTCCCAAAGAGTCTCTTAATTGCTCAATATCCTTTAATACATGATAGTGTTAACTAGACTGGTATCTGCTCTGTGGTATGTAAAAACTTCAATCAATGTTGTCTTACCTCTTGACTACCTTCTGCAACCTGTGGTGTTCTAGAAATAGTACTTAAATCCATGTTGTTGTTTTTAGCATTTTTTTTTATTTTAGAAGCACTCTTATTTACATATCAATCCCCCCATTCCCTTACCCTCCCATGCTCCCCACTGACCCCCCCACCCACTCCCCAGGGATAGTGAGGCCCTCCATGGGGGACCATCAAAGTCCATCACATCATGTGGGGGAGGGCCCAGACCCTCCTTCTTATATCTGGGATGCAGTAGTATCCCTCCATAGGGAATGGGCTCCCAAAGTCCATATGTGCTCTAGGGATAAACACTAGCTCCGCTATTAGAGGTCCCATAGACTGCCCTGGTCTCCTAGCTGGCACCCACATTCAGAGGGCTTGGTTCGTCCAATGCTGGTTCCCCAGCTTTACGACTAGGGTCTCTGTGCTTTTACTAGGTCAGGTCAACTATTTCTGCAGGTTTCTCTAAAACGGTCTTGGCTCCTTTGTTCATCCCTCCTCTCTTTCGACAACTGGATTCAAGGAGTATGACTCAGTGTTTAGCTGTGGGTGCCTGTTTCTTCTTGGATCGGCTACTGGATGAAGGCTCTAGGAATGACAACCAAGGTAGTCATCAATCTCATTAAAGGGGAAGGGCATCAAAGTCAGTCTCTATACCACTTCCTAGATTCTTAGTTGGGGTAATCCCTATGGATCCCCTAACATTTCCCCTGTGCCAGACCTCTCTCCAAACCTGTACTGGTTTCCCCTATCAAGGCATCTCCTTTCTTGCCCTCCCCTATTCTTCCCCTGTCTCAGTCCTCCTGTTCTCCTTCCTCTTCCCCTTCTTCCCCTCTTCCCCTCTCCCCACCTCTCTTCTCTCTCCCCAAGTTCTCCCAATTTGCTCAGGGGTTCTTGTTCCCCTCCCCTTCTTTGGGGGATCATGTATTCTTCTCTTGGGGGTCCTCCTTGTTTCCTAGTTTCTCTGGTGGTGTGGTAAATCCATGTTGTTTAGTAGGAACTCTATAATACACTGAATTATGATACCTTCCCCAACTTAAGGAAGGGGTTAGATAATCACTGAATTATAAAAAATGTACCTTGACTATACTTCTGTTAGTATTGTAGGGTAAATTAATTAGATGATTATCAGTACTACATAAAATCCTTTGCCAAAATGTATGATGCTAAACAAGTTCTTAGTACATTATATAATTGGCTATATGTGTACATTATATAGTGACATGTTTAAATATGTTAGGTACAGTGAACAAGGAAGTAAAAAAATCAGACCATTTCTAAACTTTGGAAATTCTTATGGAGGAAGATTGAAAGTGAAGATGAGTAAGTACAGTTTATAGGTGATTTTGATGCTGCTATGTAGAAAGCCCAGGTATGGGAGTGATTAGAAATACGACAGGAAGGGGAGAGAAAGTGAGTCGCACTTTGGATAGGGCATTTAGGAAGGCTTTCATTGAGAAATCATATTTGAACACAAGCCGTAAAACAGGGTGGCCCAGTTTTTTTTTTTATGCACCTGTTTATTTACCTTGCCTTCTAGTTGCTTCCATGGAAGATTTTTCAATATTCTTGAAGCCTGTGGAAAGCTGGTACTTCCAGAATGGGGTGAGTGTTGAGGGAAAAGAGACAATTGGGCACAGGAGCGTAGCTTAGTCCATAGAGAGCTCACCCAGCACACAGAAAGCCCTGGGTCCAGTCCTCCTAACACGGCATGAAATGAGCACCAGTGACACATTCCTGTAATCCTAGCTTGGGAGGTAAAGTCAGTAGGATCAGGAAACCATGGTTATATTTAAGCCTGTCTAAAGACCAAATAAACAAAATTAAAAGCCAGACTGACCTTGACATATTCAGGTAAACTGGGACTTAGAAAGTGGCATTATTTGAATTAGGCAAGTATTCTAAGTGTATATTCTTTGGTATTTAGTTGATGAGAAGCAACAATAGTTTTCTTATTCTTCCCTAAAGGAGCTTTACTGCATCACTCTATCTGTAGCACTCAGTTTTTAGACACGTATTATGCTATAAAGTAAAAGATGTAAAGCAGGGTTTCGTTTTGCCACCACGCAGGACATCCTCCAGTCCACCAACCTCTCACCATTTAAGTACCCTATTTGCTCTTGATGCAAGTATTTTCTCTTATTGTGGAGGCAACTTTAGGTATTGATTATGCTTTTTTAATGAGGTACCAAGCATTCACAAATAAGCATGCCTTTCTTATTTCATCATTAATTCTATGATAATTTAAAGGCATTTTCACAACATGTAAGGGACAGAGACAGTTGACCTGAACAAGGGGGATCTCATGGACCTCAAGACTGGTGACTGAGAGGCCAGCATGGGACTGATCCAGACTCTCTGAATGTGGGTGTCAGTGAGGAGACCTCGCCAATCTATAGGCCCTTGGATAGTAGACCAGTATTGAGCCCTGGAGTACAAATGGACTTTGGGAGCCCATTCCATGTGGAGGGATGCTGTCTCAGCCTGGACACATGGGGGAGGGCCTAGGCCCTGCCCAGGATGATATGACAGATTTTGAAGCTTCCCCATGGAGGGCCTTACCCTCCCTGGGGAGCAGAGGGGGGATGAGATGGGGGGTTAGGGAGTTTGGTGGGAGGCAGGGGAGGGGAAGGGAAGGTGAGACAGCTGGGATTGACATGTTAAGCAAGCTTGTTTCTAATTTAAATAAAATAAAGAAATGAATCGCTGTTTCTTCTATCCACATAGTTGTAGGGGTTTGGTCTTTCTTTGGTCTATTCTTAGGACTAATGTGTTAAAGGACAGGTGTTGTATGAAAGTAGGATCAAAGGGCAGTGCAGCAGCGAACACTGAAGATTAAGTGAGCCTGACAGTGTCAACACATAGGCCATTTATTTTAAAAAGAAGAACTATTCAAAGTAGGCAACTGGTAGTACTGTATGAAAATATTTTATATATAGATAATGCCAAAATTAAATATATACATTAATTAAAGTCTAACATATATTATTATCTTAAAAATATACTTCCCAAATTGAAAATTCAATTATACAAGCCTTAGTATACATAGATGGCAAAAGTGACTGAATACTAAGCTTCAGTATCTTTGGACTAAGTGAATTTCTATCTTTAAAAGTTCTTTTATTTAAAAAGATGTTCTATGCTCTTTACTGAAGGTACGTGTTATACATTCATGTTGAACTACATTTCTTGATACCTGTTTTAAATGCCTTAAGCTTTTCTTGCTGTCACTGCTTTGAGATACGACTCATTTTCATTAGAAATATCCATCACTGTGAGCACCCCAGCATCTCCAGCTTACAAGATGACAGCTCCACTCTTCGACGATTCACAGATGCACAGTGGGATACCATCATTTTGCTGGTAAAACAATGGTGACTTAGAGTCCTTGTAGGCTTTATTTTTGTGGCTTGGATATCTTCTGAAATGTGTGGGAAGGTTTAAAAAAGTATTGCAGATGGCATGATTGCTTTACAAAGTCAGCACAGCTAATGTCTATCCATATGTATAATTCTTACTGCAGCAATCCGTTGCATTGTTTGTGTCCATTTCTAGTACCTCATTGTGGTTTTCCCAGTTGCTCTGGTCATTTGACCAGGAGGTATCCAACAACTTCTGGGAGGATTTCAATTCTCAAAATGTAGATACTTGGAGGTTGCAAATACATGTCCCATGTTTATATACTGCCCTTCAAAATTTTATTCCAACAAGTTTTTATCTCTCTCAGTAGCCTCTTTAGGAAACATGGATCATTCTTTTTCTTTTCCTTTAAATTCTTTTCTTCCTAGAGAAATAAATTCATAAAATTCAATTTAATATCTTGATAAAATGTGTCTCAAAATATTTGCTTTTTATTTTTCATTATATTAGATTATACCTAATATTTAGTAAACAAGAAAAATGACTTATGTATAACATCTTAAAACTATGACCTATGATGATAATTGCAAATTCTGACTGACAGGAAAATCCATTCTACTTATGCTGAATGTTTCATATGTCATTTTCACCCTGCATCAGTGGACACAAGAGCCTAAAATTTCACAAAAGGTAAATTATTTATGTAATTTAATTGAACTTTTTATATGAAAAAATAAATTTTAGTTAAAGGATTTAACACCAAAAATGTTTAGATTAATGATAATTTATGTGATTCAACTTGGAATACCTTGGAATCTATTACAAAAACCTAGTATTTATTGAAGTATGACTGGCATCTACCTCATAATTTGTTTTTTCTCACCACAGTAAGAATTTTTAAATGCTACTAGTACAGTATAGACAAAATGGAGAGAGATGCCTGCATACAGCAGATACTGGAGGGCGATGGTCATGTTTCTTCTGACCCATGTGACATGGTAGAATGATTCTTCATTTAGTGAAGAACCAGTTATTGAATATTTTCTAGGTCAGATATTATGCTCACTACTCCACATATTTTACTTTATCCCAGTGACCTTGATGACTTCACCTTTGTTCAAAAATGAGGATACTAAAGCCACAAAGAGGCAAAAACCAGTTGTGACACAGCTGTGATTTTTTGTTTTTGGCTTTTTGAGGCAGGGTTTCTCTGTGTAACAGTCCTGGCTGTCCTCGAACTCACTGAGATCCACCTGCTTCTGCCTCCCAAGTGCTAAAGTAAAGGTGTGTGCCACCATCACCCAGCCTCATCTCTTTTTAATTTAGTCAAAAATTCATATCTCTATTAGTTACATCCTTAAGTAATATCCCAGAATGTAGATTTTAAATAACTTCAAAAAGGCAGATGACAGATTTTGCAGATAGACAATGGGAAAACTTTTCATTAACCTTTTCAGGACATTTTTAATGTTCATTTGACTAAGTTACTATACTTGGATAGCAGATATGCAATTGGTACTTCCATGGTGGTATAGTACTTATTCATAGGTTCTACATCCTTGGATTTAATCAACTGTAATTTGAATATACTAGAGGAACATGGATGGACTGCACTGAACATGTGTGAACTCTTTTTCTTGTCATTTTTCTTCAAACTACACACCATAACACCTTTATGCTCCCATTATGTGTTGATCAAATAGCAGTAATGGAACTGTGAGGAAGAATCCATCACCCACGAGTCAGCCTGCTCGCTGTTCAGTGTCCCCGACTTGTTAATCTTATAAAGCAGAGTCAAACGGGCTTTCTGACTTTGTAACCAGGGCAAGAAGAGCATTCTAAAGGCAGAGGTTTCCTTCGAGAGTGGGGATAATACAGCTCTACTGAACGTGGTCAGCAGCACTTAGAGCTGTGTGACGACAGAGGTGACCACTGGAGAAGGATAGCTTCCTAAACAGGCGGGATGTGTATTTGGTTCACAGTAAACAGCCCATGCTTACCTTGCTTGTGCAGTTCACCAGCATCTGTGTGCCCTGGGAAACTGTTAGCAAGTGGACATTGAATTCGTCACTGATATTCATTTTAAGAAATTGTTTCAACTTGCGAGCAGCACGATTTAGAAAAGCAGCTTCCTAACACAAGAAATCAAAAGGACCGTGATAAGAAGTTTTAGTTACTCACTTAACAAAAAACTAGAGAGCCCTGTCAGTAGTAAAACCCCAACTCCACCCCAGCTTTCTATTCTGGTTAATCACGTGACTAACGAGTAACAAGAACGAAAGTGTTTGGCTCTGAGCAGAGAGAGAACATGAAGTGCCTAGAGTTTGGTTTAATAATTATCTGGCTTTCAAATAGTCGTTTTTCACTATGTACATGCGGCTCTATCGTTTGTGAGGGAGCACATTACAAGACTATATACTTTTCACAGAATAATCAAAGAAGAAGTTTGCTGAAAACACTAGTGGGGAAAGGTAGGTGAGATTTTTCTTGCAACCATTTCTGAAAAATAGTGTTTGGGAGAATAGCTGATAGTAAAACAAAATAAGAAAATGAAGAGCCATGTAACCTAAGATATAACGCTTTTTAGATTAATTACTTAATAAATAAAAAGAATTCATGGCTTGATGATACTGTGGAGTTAATATCTATGTGAGTTGTAGAAAAACTAAAGAGCATCTCTGTTTCTTTGGGGGGAAAATTGCAAACTTTTGGAGATACTTTTTTTTCCATTGTAATTGACCAACTAGAGTTGATTTGGTCATAAACTTCGACAAATACTAAAAAAAAAAATCAAACTGTCTAAAAATAAATGGTGTGTGTGTGTGTGTGTGTGTATGTGTGTGTGTGTATGTGTGTGTACATGTGCAATCATCTTAACGAGGCCTTTCCTTCACAATAGTTTTTTGGTGGGTGAAAAGGGAGATATTTGTGCCTTTTTTATACATAGCTTTTAGTATTTTGAAGGTGAAAGACAGGAAAGTAGAAGAACAAATTATCTGCTTTTTAATCCACTGAGAACAGTATACCTGTAAAATTAACATACAATAGACCACAGTATAATATAATAGATGATTGCTAATCCTGTCATTGAGATGAAGAGATTATTTCATTAATTTAATTATCTAACAAGTTTGTATATAAAATCAAACTCATATGATAAATTCTAAATTGTCATTACCTTTGCATCATCACATGGATGTTTTTTAAAAAAGTTTGGCTCATTATTTGGACAATTGCTAACAGTTCCTGTCATTTTGTCCTGTAATAAATAATGTAAAACAATATGGTTAACACTGAGAATCTCTATAACATATAGTTATAAAATAGCATTTTAATAATATGAACACTTTAAGGAAAGTAAATTTGCCTGACTCTGCTAAGTAGTTATCAAGAACAGTTTTCTTTACATGAAAAATAAGGAAATGTGTACAGTATCACCTCAAATAAAATTTAGAATCTTTGAAGAACAAGTTGGACTAGCTCTGTTCAACAAACTAGCAATTCCAGGATTTCCTACTTCTCAAAGACTTCAGGCAATCTTAGTCTGATTGATATTGTGAAATCAACAAGTACAGCAAGAGCAAGATTAGTAAAGGGCTTATAATGTTCATCTGCTACCCAGGAAAGTATGTGTTGCTCATACAAAGGTTGAGTGATTTCCTGACTTTAAAATACATGTGTTACTGTTTCACCTGGAGTAAGTTGTGCCTGAACACATAATTGTTTAAAGATTCAACACTCACTGATGGCTGTTGTTCAAAGTTTTCTGCAAAACCCTACACTGAAGCCAATTTAAGAGAATAGTGACCTAGTTTCAATTGGCATTTGGCACATGGGTGACTGCATCCTTCAAGCAAGGTAACTTCATACCTTTGGAAAAGCATGCTTTTAGAGATGTGTCTATATCAGCTATGCAGTATTTAGTTCATACTCTAAACATCACAGTTACAAGACATGTGTTTCCTAAAACTATCATCTTATTATATTTAACAGTAATAAAAAAGTATTTGTCATACAGGTCTTTCACCTGTTTGGTTAGAGTTACCCCAAGATATTTTGTGTTGTTTGTGGCTATTGTAAAGGGTGATGTTTCTCTGATTTCTTTCTCAGTCCTTTTATCGTCTGCATATAGTAGGACTACTGATTTTTTTGAGTTAATCTTGCATCCTCCCACTTTGCTGAAGGTGTTTATCAGACGTGGAAGATCCCTGGTAGTGTTTTTGGGGTCACTTACATAAACTATCATATCATCAGCAAATAGTGAAAGTTAGACTTCTTTCTTTCCCATTTGATCCCCTTGATCTCCTTTTGGTGTCTTAGTACTCTAGCAAGAACTTCAAGTATAATACTGAAGAGATATGGAAAGAGTGGACACCCTTTTCTTGTTCCTGATTTTAGAGGAATCACATTGAATTTCTCTCCATTTAGTCTGATGTTGGCTGTGTGTTTGCTGTATATTGCCTTTGTTATGTTTAGGTATGTTCCAGATCTCTCCCAAGACCCTTATCATTAAGGGGTGTTGAATTTTGTAACATCTAGTGATCATGTGACTTTTCTTTCTCAGTTTATTTATATGGTGGATTACACTGATGGATTTTTATATGTTAAACCATCCCTGCATTTCTGGGATGAAGCCTACTTGACCATGGTAGATGATTTTTCTGATGTACCCTTGGATTTTATTTGCCAGTTCTTTTTTTGCATAGATGTTCATGAGGGATATTGGTCTGTAGTTCTCTATCTTAGTTTTATCTTTGTGTGGTTTGGGTACCAAGGTAATTGTAGGCTTATAAAAAGAGTTTGGCAATGATCTTTCTGCTTCTATTGTGTGGAACAATTTGAGGAGTATTGATATTAGCTCTTCTTTGAATTTCTGGTAGAATTATGCACTGAAACCATCTTGCCCTGGGCTTTTGTTTTTTGCTTGGAAGACTTTTGATTTCATTAGGGGTTATAGGCCTATTTAAATTGCTTATCTGTCTTGAGTCTTTAAAGAAAGAAATTAAAGAAGATACCAGAAAATGGAAAGATCTTTCATGCTCTTGGATAGGTAAGATAAACATAGTAAAAATGGCAATCTTATCAAAAGCAATTTAGAGATTCAATGCAATCCCCATCAAAATCCCAGCACAATTCTTTACAGACCTTGAAAGGATAATACTTAACTTTATATGAAAAAAAACAAAAAAACTCAGGATAGCCAAAACAACCCTGCACAATAAAGAAACTTCTGGAGACATTACCATCCCTGACTTCAGCCTCTAGTATAGAGCTATAATAATGAAAACAGCTGGATATTGGCACAAAAATAGACAGGTAGACCAACAGAATCAGAATTGAGAACACTGATATTAACACACACATCTATGAACACCTGATTATTGACAAAGAAGTTAAAGTTACACAATGGAATAAAGAAAGCATCTTCAACAAATGGTGCTGGCATAACTGCATGCTGGCATGTAGAAGACTGCAGATAGATCCATATCTATCACCATACACAAAACTTAAGTCCAAATGGATCAAAGATCTCAACATAAATCCAGCCACACTGAACCTCTTAGAAGAGAAAGTGGGAGGTACCCTTGAATGAATTGGCACACAAGACAGCTTCCTGAACTTAACATCAGTATCACAGACACTGAGATAGACAATTAATAAATGGAATCTCCTGAAACTGAGAAACTTATGTAAGGCAAAAGACACAGTCAACAAGACAAAATGGCAGTCCACAGAATGGGAAAAGATCTTCACCAACTATACATCTAATAGAGAGCTGATTTCCAAAATATACAAAGACCTCAAGAACACCAAAACACCAAATAATCCAATTAAAAAGTGGGGGTAGAGAACTAAACACAGAATTCTCAATAGAGGAATCTAAAGTGGCTGAATGACACTTAAGAAATTGCTCAGCATCCTTAGCCATCAGGGAAATGCAAATCAAAATGATTCTGAGATACCATCTTACACCTATCGGAATGACAGTTTATGCTGGAGAGAATGTGTAGAAGGGGGAATGTTTCTCCATTGCTGGTGGGAGCGCAAACTTGTATGACAACTTTGGAAATCAGTATGGCAGTTTCTCTGGAAAATGGGACAGTCTACCTCCAGATTCAGCAATTCTACTCTTAGGAATTTACCCAAATGATATACAGACATACCACAAGGACATCTGTTCAACTGTGTTCAAAGCAGCATTATTTGTAATAGCCAGAACCTGGAAGCAACCTAGATGCCCCTCAACTGAAGAATGGATATAGAAAATGGGGTACATTTACACAATGAAGTACTATTGTTGGTAAAAGAAAAAAACAATGGAATCTTGAAATTCACAGGCAAATGGACAGGACTAGAAGAAACCGTCATAATTGAGGTAACCCAGTCACAAAAGACAAACATGGTATGTACTCACTCATATATGAATATTAGACATAGAGCAAAGAATTATTAGCCTGCAATCCACACCTCTAGAGAAGCTAGGAAACAAGGAGGACTGTAAGAGAGACATACATGGTCCCCCAGTGAAGGGGAAAAGGACAAGAGACCCTGAACATATTGGGAGCATGGAGGAGGGAGGAAGGAAGTAGGAGGAAGAGGAGGCTAGAGGAGAACTTGAGGGATCAGAAAGATTGAGTACGGAGAGGAATAAAGGAGAGCAAGAAAAGAGATAAATAAATATAGGGATACACTATAGGATTTTTGTTTTGTTTTCTGAGACAGGGTTTCTCTGTACTGTTTTGGAGGCTGTCCTGGAACTCCTCTGTAAACCAGGCTGGCCTTGAACTCACAGAGATCCTCCTGCCTCTGCCTCCCAAGTGCTGGGATTAAAGGCATGAGCCACCAATGCCCGGTGATCCACTATAGGTTTAACGAGAAATCTGGCACTAGGGAATTGTACAGAGATCCACAAGGATGACCCCAACTGGGAATCTAAGCAATAGTGGAGAGGGTAACTTAAATGCCCTTCCCCTATAATGAGAATGATGACTGCCTTATATGCCCTCACCCAGTAGCTGATGGAAGCAGAAGCAGAAATCCATAGCTAAGCACTGAACCAAACTCCTGGAATCCAGTTTCAGAGAGGGAGGAGTGATGAACAAAGAGGTCAATACCATGCTGGGAAAACCCACAAACAGCTGACCTGAGCAAGTGGAAACTCATGGACCCCAGGCTGACAGCTGGGCAACCAACGTAGGACCAAACCAAACCCCCTGAATGTGGGTGTCAGCTAGGAGCACTGTGCAGTCTATGGGGCCTCTGATAGTGGAACCAAGATGTATTCCTACTGCAGGAATGGACTTTGGGAGCCCATTCTCCATGAAGGGATACTCTCTTAGCCTAGATACACAGGAGAGGGCCTATGCACTGCCCCAAATGACTTGACAGATTTTGATGATCCCTCATGGAAGGCCTCACCCTCCTTGGGGAGTGGATAGGGGATGGAATGGGAGGCATGGTAGGATGGGAGGGAGAGGGAACTGGTATTGATATGTAAAATAAGATTGTTTCTAATTTAAATAACATTTATAATAAGAGAAAAAATTATTTGTCTACTAAGTAATTTTTCTATCAAGTTTTATTTAAGCTCAAGAATGGTGTCAAATTATATATACAATTTTCTTTCGTTAAAGATACAAAATCACATATGAAAACTGACACCAAATTAAATTCTTGGAGTATTCTAGCAAATTTCATAATTATATTTGATGCTCCTTTTTGGTTAGGCCAATGCTCTGAAACACTAATACAATTCAGTCTTGTATGCTGTAGAAAAGAATGTTGTACTGACTGAATTAACTGTGATGGCCCTACACTTTTAACATGGGAATAGAAGATGTCAAAGTTGCCTTCTGAAGTTACTACACAAGTCTACCAAGAGTAACTCTGAGTATGAATTCATAGGAAAAGAAAACAGTTCCTATCTCATGATTTAGCAAGTGCCAGCTAATAGATTCTTATAGGCATTTGGTTCATTTAAATATTATTCATGGTTTATTAGAAATCCAGAAAACCACAATAGAAGAGTCAAAATATTGTGAGCTCTGGTTTGAATTTTTTTCTTAGAAAGGGTCTTTGATATCATTAGGTTGTACCTTTCTGTTTATTTCTACTAGTTAGTTAACCCTCTCGTCTTAATTACTGTTCTGTTGCTCTTAAGAGACACCAAGATCATGACAACTCATATAAAATTAAGTATTTAACTAGGGGGTGGGCTTGCTTGCAGTTTTAGAGGTTTACTCCATGACCATCACAGCA